TAGAAAATCGAAACAGACTATAACTTTTGCCTAAGAAATACTTAAGTGGAGCCAAAAACGCAGTTTTGTCTGATTTTGTCAACATTACGTAGATATAGGTACGACTCCAGAAACACAGGTATAAGAAAGACAAACGTATATCTAAGTAACATAAACTTTTTGAAAACGTTGGTAGACGTATTTTGAAAAATACAATTATCTACTCGATATAGTTCTGTAACAATAATGAAATTGGGCCACCCTGTACTTATTAATACTAAATCATACAGAATTACTAGAGTACGAATTTGTCAAAACGTTTCATTTTCCTATAAGCAGATTAAAGGATTATTCTTCTCGCAAGTATTCATGGAATGCGCTGATGTTGCGCTCATAATAGCGCGCAAAAATTCTTCCAATGTTTTCGGTTCGAATCAACACAAAACAATGTTACCGATAATTGAATGAAATTAGCAACTGTATTAAATTGCCATTCAAACTGTTTAATGTTAGTCATATTTTTTGGTTTCCCTACCCATAAATCACCAAACTGTGTTTGGTGGCGGTCAATTGAGACATCAAAATAGTGAAAAATTCCCAATTATAACTGAGCAATATTGAAACCGTATCCAGCATCCGGAAAATCAATAGAGCTCCATCCAGAATTATGATTTGCGGAAAATAATTCGGCAAAACAGCGCAACGTCTAGTTTATTGATTGAACAACCCTTACCTGCGAAGAGGGGAGATCCGTAGGCTGAGGCATGACCGAAGAAACATAAACAAACGAGTGACAACTCGAACAAATCAAACGAAACCTAACAGAAAACACATCATGCACAACAAAATGAAACGAAAAAGATAAACCAGCGCATCGACAACCCGCACGAAACACGACTCGAAATGAACTAAAATGAAATTGTGATCACATCATGGCGTGATTCATTTGGCCTCAGTCGCGGCAAAGCAAACTCAACCGAACGATCGACCAATTCGTTCCTCCTCCACGAAACAAGAGGGTGATAAGGAGATGGATGATGAATCGTCAACTGGTCCGAAACGAGCCAACCAAGAGCGTCATTTTGCTCCTGCGAGATGCTGCTACAGAATGCAATAGAAGCTATTTCGTTAATTGCCAAAATTAATTCTTTCAACACCACACAACTACACTTTTATCAACTCTTTCTTCAATTTCATTTTCATGTTTATATCCAGTCTGGAGTTAGTGTTTTGATGTGTTTTCTTCTCAAACAATCAAAAGAAAATGTTCATTTTTCTGGAAGTTGCACTGGATTTTTCACAATGAAAGTCAATTTAATAAACTTACCTATTTAACACTTACTGATAAGAAAAATATGCAAATACTCTATCTAAATACACTAGATATAACTCCTCAATATTTGAGTAGCTAGACAAAGAACATTAAGAATGTGAATTMTTTACTATTTAYTAAAAACAATTGCTATTTCTTATTTAACAAATTAATTTTCCTACTAATCAAAAAATAATAAGAATTTGTTTATTTTATACCAGTTCCAAGAAAAATTGTTCCAAMCAACAATCATAATAAGTTAGCAAACATTCAATATTATATAKTATTTAAATATAAACGAAGTGAACGAATTCGAYTCGAAGTTCGACTATTTTTCTGTTTGCATCCGCCTAATTTTATTAATTTTTTCATGTTGAAATCCATCCATTCCATACAATTTCTAACAGAAAAGTTTTAATTTTCATAAAATATTTTCSATTTAGGTGTATGTTTTCTCATAATGCAATGYAAATGATTTCAGAAAGCAAATGATGAAAAATCGTTTTAAATTTAAATGATTAAYTTTAGTTTACGGAGTTGCYCCAAGTTAGTGAAGCATTTYAATGGTTTCTGAGAAATTTATGAAATGCATGTTAATTTTGCTTCTAATGTATGATTAATGTTCTTTTAATCTTTGGGTTAAKGGTTTTAGGTTCGGATGAAATTTTCAACACTTACAATAAATTGTATAAAGTTCGTTTCTGAGTTCACTTTTWACTTTACTTTGCTTTTGAAAATAGTTTTAATTTAAARTTTATGATWCTTTCACATAATTTTGTATCAAATTRGAGAAATAAATTGAATCTGTTGGAACCTTAAGTTAAAGGCTTGCAATAGGTTTACTGTGATTTTGYATAATTATTMTRGAATWAAAAATTGCCAAAACATTTAATTCAATCTTSRATGRAKKAKGATAKTTASWAWRACGKACAWGWACTTCTTMGATTAATTGATTTTCTTTAATGCATTTTTTATTTTTACTTCATCATGSAMAARGTGTTTGTTAAACTTTAGAAAAGGCTTARCWTCCACTCTACAGGAYGTTACAAAGACTACGAGTACTAYGMAAAAGAGAGAAAACCTTTYYGTTTGAAAATTGAAGAAAAAATTACTTTTTAAATTACAAACCATTKWMGTMSRTWTCRGAAAYMCCGWAAAATTTMAYTTGCWTATKWCARTCGGTTTCGGGAATATCAAGAAMKTTTATTTKTTTAAAAGAAMACTCATCAMCTTCAGGYACCTCTTGAAAYAATAAGCKTTTAAACAGCATCACCTRYACACYATATAAWTTTATTATAACATAATATTAACTTTATCAGATACTTTGTTTCGARATCAGYCGAATTTKRAAGCAAAARTGTTTTGAAWTATCACAGAAARTTAATTATTACAAGAAATRGCAACTCGCGTTTYTAGCCATTTTTATTTWATGTCACTTCATTTAATTCGGATGAAAAWTAGACAAATTTTACGTATAAGTTTTGAGGTTTTAAATCTCTTGAAGAAAATATMAAATTYCAWGAARATTTTAAATTTGTATAAAKATTGTAAATTGMCTTTTGAATTTTAAAAATAATTCAAAATTGTATAAGCAATGCACTGGTGGTTAATTTCACAATATTTCGAGTTTGCTTGATTAATACCTTACATTCATTAAAATTTACTTTTCGAGCGTCAATGTGAAATACACTTGAGATATTCCCATCTGACGAAACCTATTTGCTTTCCGATATGCTCGCAACTAATTGTTGAAACAGTTCTCATGTTTTATTACTTGTCAGCTCTTTTTTCTCAAYTTTTATAAAATTGTTCTATTCATTCATCGCCCGTTTATACGTTCATGGCACTTTACAACAAAATGCTACGCGCGAGTACCCAGACCACGTTACAAGMACTGATGATGRAATGAAAGATGTAAATGTAACGCAAAATGCGGCAAATKATCATTCTTGCAAGTTCTAGATACCTACAGAAAGCATTTAGAGTTCTGAAAAGTGTTTTATTGAAATTGCAACTAGTAACTGGAATTTTCATTGCTTTTAATATGGTAATTTCCAACTGATTCCGAATATACATATTTTTGGTTTAGTACCAGTGCGAAAGATTAAAGCAAAACACCATATTCAGTCTCTAGTCCAGTAAATCCGAACGAAATAATCAGATAATTCGTCTAACTGTAAATTAATAATCGTCTAACTATAAAGGAAACAAATTTTCAGTCATTCTAAATGAAGCATTCGCCATTATGTCTAGACACTAGTAAAATTAAATTTTTTCCAAAAACAATTTTAATTCCATATTTAGCTTCTACATAGATTTTTCTCTGAGATGGTAGGATGTAACAAACGTTTTAGGCTTAACCCTTTGTGGTCTCAACCTCAACTCTTTGGCAAACATCCATTATAAATTATATAAGTAGTGTTTCAGGTTTCAAAGTTCCAAAAAAGCCTTAACTAACTTAATTTTAGAGGCCTTAAAATTTAACAACCTGAATTTCAGAATTCGTTAAAAACATCTTCATCCCAAAATAAAATCCAGTCTCGAAGAACTTCGCTTTAATCGCAGTTTTAAATCTTTCGAAAAAATAAGTTAAATTGATATATTTTAAAGAATTCAAGAGAGGATAATAGGATAACATTTTTTATGGAGATTTCAAGGACTGTCTGCCCTGATTAGAATAGAAAACGCTTAGAAATATCTGAAAATTGAAAAAAATTCCTAAATTTGTGACCTCAGTCTAATTTCACTCTGTACGAACCGAAACACTTAACAATTTCCGATAAAAAAAATTAATAGCGAAGATAAAGTTAACGCAATTTTGTGAACGTTTCGTGATTGAACTACAAAACCAGACAATTAATGAAGTGCTTTATGATAAGCCGAAATTTAAAGTGTCTAACACTTACATATATAAGTTTGACGTTGCCACCAACTTGTTATCGTGCTACCAGTTTCCTACGACATGAAACTGTTAGTTGCACTTCTGGGGGTTTGTTCAGCAGTTCTTGGTGAGTGAATATTTTTTTTATTGAAACTAGTTTTAATGTGAAGTAGAAAATAATTAACTGAATGAATTGTAACTATTTTTTCATTGTAAGGTGAGTGCATGTTTAAGTTGGGCCCCAAGCTGTTTCTTTGGTATTGGTTTCTAATGAAAATATAACTAAACATATTGTAGACAATTATATTTGAATCTATGGTTAAAATATTAAGAGTTTCAGTAAAAAATATTACTAGAAGCGCCGATGTTCCAACCAACTAAGGAGCTCTCTACTATTAATGTAACATTTTTTTTGGCAGCTCGAGAAGGATTTGGGCCAACAGATCAAGAATGGGGCTACGTAACGGTGCGTGATGGGGCTCACATGTTCTGGTGGTTACATTATACTACCGCCACACCTGATCCTACCGAAAAACCCCTACTAATTTGGTTGCAAGGAGGTCCTGGCGCATCCTCAACCCAGTAAGTGACTGGACTTATTCTCAAATCACTCAATTGAGAGAGTTTTTCGAACAGATATGGCAACTTTGAGGAAATCGGACCAATCGATTCGGATTTAAATGAAAGAAACACCAGCTGGGTGAAATACGCCAACGTATTGTTTGTAGATAATCCAGTCGGAACTGGGTTCAGTTACGTGAACTCTAATGAGTTTGCGACTACCAATCAGCAAATTGCTCAGGACTTCGTGGAGCTCCTGCAAGGGTTTTACCAAGCTTTGCCTCAATTTGAAAACGTCCCTCTTTACATATTCTGCGAATCTTATGGGGGGAAAATGACTGCTGAAATTGGGCTCAATTTGTATCAGGTTAGTTAAAAGTTTGCACTTATGTCCAGTTAAAGAATGATGTTTTTAATTCAAGGCTATTGAAAGAGGAGAAATCCGGAGCAATTTCAAAGGAGTAGGACTGGGAGATTCCTGGATATCCCCAGTTGATTCTTGCCTCACTTGGGCCCCGTATCTTTACAATCAGGCAAGTAGATTCTTGAAATTTATTTAAATCACTAAAACTGCTGCTACATTGGAAGCCTTGCTAAGGTTGACGGGTATTTAAATCAGATGAGAATATTCCCCATTCATAGATTCTTCAAAATAATTGTAATTTCTCAAGTTTCTACTCAGGCAATAATCTTAAAAAAAAACGTGCTTACCTTTGTCTGTCGTTGGTAAACTTGCATTAAGGACAGATATTATTGTTAAAACCATTCAGTCTTAATTAATAATTGAGACACGTCAAGCCGGCCGTTTCGATGACAGGAAACGTCAACGAATTTTAAATTTAGAAAATCGCGTTTTTTTGCTTAAATTTACCAACTAAAATCATACTACCGGGAATAAAATGCCACAAGCGGATAAAGGAAGTAATGTGCTTTCAAAAAATCACTAATTTTTCACACAGAGGCGAAAAAACCATGACATGACAGCGAACGCTACACATTATCATATTCAGAAAATCGGATTTTTCCAACTAAAATATCACTATTTGTTGAGGAAATACCGCAAAAGGCTAAAGGAAAATGTTCGCTTTTAGAAAATCACCAATTTTCCGCACAGAAGATGAAAAATTCCAATATTTTTCCACTTTTGTCACCACACACGTTTATTATCCGCCAATAAACAAAGCACTAAAGGGGGACGAATTGACACAGCAGAATCCTATTTTTGACACTGATAAATCGATAATAATGACAATTAAATCGTATTTAAAAAAGTTTTTGGATTAAAACGACCTCATTATTTGCTCTTAAAAATTTACCAAAAAATCTAAAAAAATCGGGTAAAATGCAGTAAATCCCCCGTTTAATAAGCAATTTTTTCAAAATTTTTTTTATAGTTTACTTAAACACCCTTCTATTGATCATTGATATTTATTGACCATCTTTCCAAACAACGCTATTTAATTATGTAATATTAGGCAATTATTAGGGATTTTTAGATACGCAACAATACAATCTACTAAACCAACAAGCCCTCCAACTGAAAACGCTTGTGGATGAGGGCAAATGGTTCGAAGCAACTGATGCTTGGGGAGATTTGGAGAGTTCGGTAGCAAACTATGCGAACGACGTGGACTTTTATAACGTTTTAACGAAAATCTCGGGAAATTTTCTGAAGAACACCCTGTACAAGCCAGATGGTAAATGATTAATATTCAGAACTCCATCTACGAGTCGTTTTGATGATGACTTTTAGGGGAGAAAGTTGGCGATGAGGAGTTTTTAATGAACAAACAAGTGAAGCAGGCTTTGGGGCTGGAACAAGACTGGGGCAGGCAGAGTGATGATGTGTTTTACTACTTACAAACCGACTTTATGAAGCCCGTTACTGATATTGTTGAACGGTTGCTGAATGAGACGGATCTAACAGTTGCTGTATACAATGGACAGTTGGATCTTATTGTGGACACACCCGGTACGTTGAACAAACATGTAGTCGTCTAGTTTTGAGCTAATACTGTTTTTGCGTATAGGAACCATCGACTGGGTGGACAAATTAAATTTCAGAGAATCTATCACATGGTCATCTACAACAAAGCGACCATTTGATATCAGTGGAATTAACGAAGGTTTTGAAAAATCTGCAGGGAATTTGGCTTTCTTCTGGGTACTACGTGCTGGGCATATGGTATGAGCTTCAAATGACTGAGTCGAAAACCTCAATAAAATCTTGCCAATTCTTTCAGGTACCCAGAGACAATCCCAATGGGATGCTGTATATTCTGCAACAAGTCACTGATAACTTTAAAGTAGATGCTCATGCAATAAATTAAAACGTTTCAACTGTGTAATGATTTTTTTGAAGCAGATTCCAACATTTTGGAGAAACGTTAGATTAAGTAAAAAAATTTCTTCCAAATTCAAGTAAAAGAAGAAATAATAAATTGCATAGAAATATCTAATCAAGTCTGAGTAATAAAAAGTACTTCAGCAATTAAATGTTTCAACATACAAAGTTCAGTTTTTAAAATGTATCTCAACAATGTTTAGTGTCCGAGAATGAGTGATAAAAAAAATATAAAATTTTATTGAATATTTGAAGAACGCGTTGACGGGTATTATTGAAATTTTTGTTGTTTCTTGCATTTTGAAGGTTTGCGATAAGGTTGTTGCATTCTTCGCTTCATTGCGACGAAAATGCAGTTAGAGAATCTAGATCCTTTTTGAAAAAATCTACCCCTTTTGGTGTTTTTCGGACAGAAAAATATAAAACCATTTGCTTCAAATTTCCAACATTGAATACGACTCGGTTCAGAACAAAGTTGCGCAACTGTGATCTAAATGGCACTATTTTACCCCTCGTATATATTTCGGAAACATTAAAAAAAATTAATCTTTTTACACCAAATTAAAGTCGATAAACGTTTGCTGTTGGGAATGAAATATCTTGCTTCTACTGCTCTAAATCTCTACTCTCGGCAACATTCCAACAAGAATACTTTCCTGCTAAATAAAATCAACCGTCTTTCAAATGTTCACTTTTCTATATTTTCATGCTACCGCTTAAAAAAAAGCATCCTATAAACAACGGTATATGAGGATAAACATCCAATTGAACCTACCAACATGTTGAAACTGGCTTTATTTTCAAAAAATATTATAGAAAATTTGATATAAAAAAGTTGAAACTAGTATAAAAAGTCTCTCAAACTCAACTCAAACTTCTACAATTTTAACTAATCTACTCAAATATGATAAGATGTGTAACAAAAACTAATGCTACAAGTGTTCAATTCTAAACTAGTTTATTCTTACATTGGATTTGAATAAACCATCCATAAAGCTGCTGAAAAACATTGAAAATCTCAAATACAAAAACTGCCGTGGCCAAAAGAAGACCGCACGCTAGAATTAAAAAAACACCCAGAAAATGATTGAAAGTCATCCGAACATCGGACACCGTTATACTCTTAAACGTGTTGTGGGTTTTTTTAGTTATTCCAAATTCCATCATTTTTGCTGCCAAAGCACCGAGTTTTTGTATATATGGCGACTTTCTCCGTACGATTAAACTTGCTAATTTCGGTAGAATCGGTTGATTAAGGCCTTGATATTTGAACTCAATGTGAAGATTTGCAAAGTATTTCGCCACAAAGTTAACATCTGTGTAAGTTCCCAAAAAGGCATACATTCCGTCGTTTTTGATTATTAGCTTTTCCCATTCGGTTCTAGGGAGCACTGTATAAGAAAAGGAAAGGTTTAATTTGGCGGGATCTAAGTTTTGAAGGCGACACGCATATACTGGAAGACCCGACTTCTTCAAATCCTCTATGGTTTTAATTTCTGAATTAAATCTATCGGTCAGCAGCTTTTTCAAATATAAACTATCGAATAACATACTTATAGACAGTGAGAACAAAAGCCAAGCGGCTTTAAGTACGGTTTTGTTCTTAACAGTCCCCGGAACAGGGACTCTGAACAAAGACAACACAAAAAAATTTAGTTCTAGTTGATTAAGAGCACTGGTGAGAGAAAGCGTTTTATTAAGATATGCCATCAGGGCGGGCAAAATTAAAATGACCCCAAAAACAGTAATGTTGTAACTAAAGATTACTAACGTCCACTTCTTGAATTTTGTGGGTTTAGGAACTGCCAGGATTATATTATCAATCATGTGCGGATAAGTAAATTCTACTTTGTCGGCGAACATTTCTGGAACGTTTCTTTTACTAACGGCCTGCGGTCTAATGCAAACATCTATATCAGAAAACGATACGTGCTGCATTATGTTATATGTATAACTTTCATCAATATTGAGATATTTAAATATCAACGAGGCATTCATGCTGGTTTTCAGAGACTCTTGGAAATGACATGGAAAGCCGCACAGGTTGCTCTTAATGTAGTGCGGAAAATCTAAAAAAAAGGTAAAATAAACCCGCTCGGTCCGAAGCACAACTGTTACTTCTCCCAAACCTAGCACTTTCATTGGATACCCATTCATATTTTTCAATTTATCTGGATATTCCTCGTGATATTCTCCAACATCGTCTATATTTACTACTTTGAGTTCATCACTGAACGGATTATATTGGACTTCATTCACAACCGTTTGATCGAAATAGATCAAAACAAAATCGAGCATTCTATATTTCCATACCAGATGCACAAGTCCCTTCAACAACTCAACATCGGTTGCTATTTCCTTACACAGTAACAGCTTGTACTTTCCACTGTTTTGGAAATACTCCGATGTAACAAATCGGTCGAAGGTATCGTGAAACGATGCTAAACTATCTATGAGAAGCAACGTTTCGGTGGTGTGGAAATCAAGTAGAGCTTTCGGAGCAGAACTAGATGAAAGTTCCACAGCCACTACTGGCACTAAAGGCGCCTTAACAATTAAATTGTACACCGGAACACAATAGGGTTGGCCTTTTGAATAAACAAAGTTTAACGTATGGAACCGATTTTCGGATTGGGGCATTCTGATAAACTGGGATGATTTAACAAAGTTGCTGCCCATAAAGGTTTCTAAGCTAATTTTTGCATTAGAAAAACCGGCAATAATTAGCAAAGCTGGCAAATACTTTAACAAATAAAATATCATCTTTCTGTTACGGTAGCCCGACAATACTGGGCCAAAATCGGAAATTTCATCACATCATTTCCAAATTAATGGTAAAAACTTTAACGATGTTATGTATTTAGTGGTAATGGAATGCGTCAATCCATTACAGAAGGCCACACAGAGATTAATTACTATATAAAAATGTTCGTGATTTATATTTTAGGTCTTTGTCATGAATCGACATTTCATTATCATGAAAATGAGTTTAAAAAATCATAATTGTTTTGAGGCTGATTTTATACAGGGTGGAACAAATTCCAGGTGTTAGCATTGAGATCTGGTGAACCCTAAGAGATACGAAGTCCCTTAAAGTAGAGGAAAGTTGCGCATTTTGATGTTGAACAAGATGGTGTTTTAAAAGTTGAGAAATAATTCCAGAAATATTTGAAAAAAACTTACTTTTTCAGTTTTCCCTCAGCTTATTTCAAGAGATATTTAAAACAAACTCACATTATTAAAATACCCTTTAACAAGATGATATAATTAGATCTGAAATTCAATGTTGCGTTTCGACTTCGTATGTATGACTAAAAAGAACACAAAAAGATAAACAAAATTCAATTTGAAATCTACTTCATAAAGTCTGTAATTTTTGTTTGTACATTTCTGCTGCAAAAATAGACGTTAATTATGTAGTTTTCAAGATCACAAAAGGACTCCCAGATATGATTAGGAACTTGGCGTGATTGTATAAAATTCCGAGTTTCTGACACTTTTTTTGTCATGTCAGAAATGGTTGGAACAGTATTAGTGTACAGTAGAATACGTTTTATCTAAATCGTCATCTTTCTCATTATCGCTTAAAGCTGTAGATGAGGTTACGGAGTCTATAATTTGCTCATCGGTCAACATTTCTCTTGAAAGAATGCCATTATCAATGCTCACATATTCGAAGAAATTGAAATCACTCAATTTGGTTTTAACTTGTTCTTCGACAACATTGGGACATCTTCGTCT